GATTTTCAGATGGTAAATGAGCACTGGCTTCAACTTAAAGTCACCAGGTGCATTGGTCCCTAACAAGAGAGTCAGCCTGTCCTTTGAAGTGTTGAAGACAGGCATTGACTTTCTAGCTATGAGAGCCCTACATGGCATCTTCTTCCAATATAAGATTGTTTTGTCTGCATTGAAAATCTGTTGTTTAGTGTAGCCACATTCATTAGTTGTCTCGGCTAGATCTTCCGGGCAGCTTGCTGCAGCTTCTCCATCAGCACCTGCTGCTTCACGTTGCACTTTGATGTTATGGAGCCTGCCTCTTTCCTTACCTCTGCTAGCTTCAAACTGGTCTTCTGCAGTTCCCTCACCTCTCTCAGCCTTCAAAGAACTGCAGAGAGTTAGGGCCTTGCTCTGGATTAAGGGAATGTCATGGCTGGTTTGATCTTCTTCCCAGACCACTAAAACTTTCTCCATGTCAGCAATAAGGCTGATTTCTCTTTCTTATTATTCATGCGTTCACTGGAATGACACTTTTTTTTTTAAATCCTCAACCAAGGCTATTTTACTATTTATTTTCAGATAGAGTGGGAGGGAGAGAGAGGGAAAGAAAGGGAGAAAGAGAAAAACATCAACATGAGAGAGACACATGGACTGGTTGCCTCCCGCACGATCCTGACCAGGGCAGGGGAGAAATCGCAACCGAGGCACATGCCCTTGGCCAGAATCTAACCCATGACTCATTAGTCCACAGGCCAATGATCTACTGCTGAGCCAAACCGACCAGGGCTGAAGTAACACTTTTCATTTCCTTCAAGAACTTCTCCTTCACATTCACAACTTGGCTGTTTGATGCAAAAGGCCTAGCTTTCAGCCTATCTCAGCTTTTGACATCCCTTCCTCATTAAGCTTAACCATTTCTAGCTTTTGATTTAAAGTAAGAGACATGTGACACTTCCTTTCACTTCAACACTTAGAGACCATTGTAGGGTCATCAACAGGCCAAATTTCAAGTTTATTGTGTCTCAAGGAACAGCAAGGCTTAAGGAGAAGGAGAGAGACAGAGAACGGAGGTCAGTGGAGCAGTAGGAACACTCACAACGTTTACCAGTTATGTCTACCATCTTACACAGGTGCAGTTTGTGGAGCCTCAAAACAATGACAATGGTAAGATAAAAAAAATCACTGATCATAAATTACCATAACAAATACAATAATAACAAAAAAGTCTGAAATACTGTAAGAATTACCAAAATGTGACACAGAGATATACAGTATTTCCAAATACTATTGGAAAATGGTGCCAGTAGACTTGCTCAATGCAGGGTGGCCACAAACCTCCAATTTGTAAAAACACAGTAAATGCAAAGCACAATAAAGAGAAGCATAACAAAATAAGGTATGCCTATATATAGGATCCTATAATATGGGATCTTTGGTAACTAGCTTCTTTCCCTTGGCATAATGTTTTCAAGGTTCATCCATGTGTAGCATGTATCAGTACTTCATTTCTTTTTGTGTACCCTTAGTATTTCATCATTTGGATATTTATCCATTCATTAGTTGGCAAACATTTGGGATTATTTCCAGTTTTTGGCTACTATGCATAATGCTGTAATGAACATTCATGTACAAGTGTTTGTGTGGATAGATGTGTTCATTTCTCTTGGATATATATCTAGGACTAGAATTGCTGGCTCATAGGATGACTCTGTTTAACATTTTGAGGAACTGCCAGACTCTTTTCCAAAGCAGCTGTATCATTTTTCATTCCCACCAGCAATGTATGAATGCCTTCACGTTATATCCTTCCCTTTTCCTTCCTGCCAAAACAACCCTGATGCCTAAAAACAGAGCGGTCAACTTAAAACTAGGAGGCATAAACATGAAGATGTTAAGAATAGCAGAGCAGAAACATAGTCTGGATTTCTACCTACCTCCAGACTTTCTGTTACTTGGGAGTAAAGAACTCTCTAGGATTATGCTACTTTAAGTGGGGTCTTCAATTAGTTACAAAGGAAGCAATCCTATGAGGCCCCAAACATAACAACTTCACTATATTCAAAGAAAGAAATTTCTCCTTAATCTTTATATACTAATTATACTAAAACCATGTTTTAAAAAGTTAGAGCTATATAAATACATAAATTATCTTTTTTATTTATTAATTATCTTTCAATTAATTAATTTTTGTTAAATTATCTTGAAATGTTAAGATAAACTAATATATTTTCACTTGATCTACTCAAAATTTTTATGTTCTTTATTATTCAGTTAATGTGATAAATCTTAATGGTAATTAACATTTTAACCAAAAAAAGTAAGCAAACCAATATACAAAGACTACTTTAAGCACTTTAAAAATTAAGTAATTCAGCCCTGGCCGGTTTGGCTCAGCGGTTGGAGTGTTGACCTGCGGTACAGAGAGACCCGGGTTCGGTTCCCGCTAAGGGCACGTACCTCAGTTGCAGTTTGTCCCTGGCCCTGGTTGGTCGTGTGGGTGGCAGCCACTCGATGTGTCCCTTTCACATCGATGTTTCTCTCTCTCTCTCTTCCTCTCTCTCCCTCCCGCTCTATCTGAACAAAAAATGGAAAAAATGTCCTCGGGTTCAATTCTGTAAAGAACTCTATGAGATAAGTAGTACCACTATTCCCATTTAATAAAGAAGCTGAAGCACAGAGAATTTAAATAAGTTGCCATGTCACACAGCTATCTACACAGCTAAGCTATCTTCTTGATAAGTCTTACCTACACATATTTTTCTCAGGGTCTTAATAACAACTGTGTCAATATTTTATCTTAAAAATGTTACAAGTGGCCACTTTTGGAAGATGTGCTCAGGGTGGGGGGAGGTCACTGCCTACTTTTTTTTTCAATCCTCACCTGAGGATATTTTTCCATTTATTTTCAGACAGAGTGAGAGGGAAGAAGGGGGTGGGGGGAGAGAGAGAGAGAGAGAGAGAAAGAGACATCGATATGAGAGAAACACATCAATTGGTTGCCTCCCACAAGACCCCAACCAGGGCCAGAGACCCAACAGCAACCGAGGTACATGCCTTTGACCAGAACCGAACCCGCTACGCTTTGGTCCGCAGGCCGATGCTCCAACTGCTGAGCCAGAACCAGCCAGGGTTCACTGCCTTCTTTTATAAAACCTCTACAATCTGATTCCATGCCAATGATCCAACTTTTCTCCCACAATTCCCCATTACGGTTATTAGAAAATACACTGTAGTGCCCTGACCAATGAGTCGCGGGTTCAATTCCAGTCAAGGGCACATCACCTGGTTGTGGTTCATCTCCAGCTCTGGTCGGGTCGTGGGGGAGGCAGCCTGTCGATGTGTCCCTCTCACATCGGTGTTTCTCTCTCTCCCATCCTCCCTCCCACGCTCTCTGATGATAAATAGACAAATATCCTCAGGTAAGGAATAAAAAAGAAAATACACTTTAGTAATCGCCTTCAATAAGCCAGGTCTTCCAGGCACAAATTTCCCTTCTTATCTCTTTAATGTCCCTTCTTCCCTGCTTAAGCTATGCCCTTCTTCTGAAGGCCATCTCTCCTCTCTAACTTACTATCATTCTAGGCCCAGTTAAATTACTAGGTCCACCTGAATCCTTCCCAATACTCACATGCCCACATTGCATTGCACTTTCTATGGATTTTTACATTTCAAACTTGCACTGACCCATCCAATCCTTCACTACATTTCGCCTAACATTGCTCATAAATTGTAATTCTTGTCCTGTAACCACTGTGCACATTTCCTAGAGAGCCTGATCAAGCCACATATTTTCTTTTATCTCTTAAAGTATATACAGCACAGTAATAAGGAAAAATGTATTAAATAGAGTAATTATATAAAATAATATAAAAACAAGATTAGAGCTTTTAAAAACTCTACTTTTAAGTGTCTACATACCTACAGAGAATATGACTAACACAAATCATCTGTTTATTAAAATAAATCCAAAACCTTTTAAGTTCTTTCAAGAATATTATAGTTTTGCTTTGAAGTTATAATACCAACATTCTTAAAATATATTGATTTAGACTTTTACGACTCCAAACCCAGTATGTTGAGGTTTTGCCAATACACTAAATATGCCTATTGCTTACTAACATCAATGAGCACAATCTAAAAATAATCTCTGAGTCATAAATTTCCTTTATAAGAGCCTAGCTTTAGGTTTAGATATTTGAAATCACAATAAATGATCTGTATTTACATAATAGAGTGGTCTAAAAAAATTAAATTACATCCCAAATAATTATTTCATTAATGTTTACAACATTTCATAAAGCAACCATTAACAAGTTCATTATACTATTTGCACTATTAACGTGTCTGAAATGACGATAATTAGTCCAATGACACAGCTGAACCAGTAGGTGACTGCATGTTATTCTTCTAGCATAGCAAAATTACTTTTCATTGAACTTTTCACATGAACATATCATGCAATCTTAGTCATGAAAAAAATAAATTTTAATTTTAGACCTTTGGAAATTACAAATTACAGATGGTTCCATACATAGTAAAAACAGACTATTCAAATTAACTAACTCCCTTTAAAATTAATTAGAAAAAATAAAAACACATCATTTAATGAGAGAAAAAAATGTTCTACTTGTTCAGTTGTTATTCAAACTTCTAAAATTTATAGCAAGAGAAATGAAGACTAAAACATCTGAAAGAACATTACCAGTATTATTTAATTAAAAAAGCTAATGATGAGCTTTCTATAGGAAAATCAGATCACAAAAGGGAAAAAACTAAGGTAGCTACATTTACCAAGAAATGTCATTTAATTTTCCCATAAATAAAGACAAAATTACCCATCAAAATTTATACTACTTCTCTACATCATTAAATATAAATTTAACAATCTGCCTTACCTGAATAAAAGAAAGATGAGAACAAATATATTTCCTCCTAGTGTTTATTAGCATTTGTACCATAAAGCACTTCTGGACATTTGCTTTTACGTATATTGTGAGAGGACACAAGAGAGGGAATCATACCTGTTTTACTAATGACTTCCTGTAACTCAGCCATGGAAGCGATTATTGCAGCAAGAAGGTCAGAACTGGTGAGCCAGCTGAGCGCCTGCAAACAACGTAACTGCTCCTTTTGATGTTCTGCAAAAATAGAAAGCAATCCACAATGCAATGCTACAAAAATTTATTAAATTCATGTTAAAAATGCATAGCAATGTTTAGCTATTTAAGAAATAGATCAAAACGTATAGACAGAACTTTGCCTAGGGCAGAAAAGTCTACAAGAAATGTTAGATTTGATTGATTTTATTTATTTATATGTAACTGTTAACTGACATTAAAAAAAAGAGAAGGAGCCCTGGCCGGTTTGGCTCAGTGGTTAGAGCGTCGGCCTGTGGTCCTGAGAGACCTGGGTTCGGTTCCCGCTAAGGGCACGTGCCTCGGTTGCAGTTTGTCCCCGGCCCTGGTCGGTTGTGCGGGTGGCAGCCACTCGATGTGTTCCTTTCACATCTATGTTTCTCTCTCTCTCTCTGTTCCTCTCTCTCCCTCCCACTCTACCTGAACAAAAAATGGAAGGATGTCCTTGGGTGAGGATAAAAAAAAAGAGAGAAGGAAATTTTCTTTAGTTCTACTTATATTACTTAGTAACTTGCTTTTCAAAAGTTAAAATTGAAATAACTGTTTCCTCAGAATAGTCAAACATTCAAAAAATGTTAACTGAAAAATTTATATTTGTATAATTTTTATTAAGTTCTTTGATAGAGTTTTAACTCTGATCATTTTATACTAATTCATAGAAAGTGAAAATAAATTATACTGCTAATAAATTTTAAACAGGGCAGAGTCTCTGGATTGATTTAACTGAAAAACTGCTGTATAAACTCTTCGTTTTACTGTGAAAAGAGCATTCAAATCTAATAAAGCCAGACAAAGTTGAAATTATACACGCTTGCTACTTTCTTTGTAATTTAATGTTTATATCAAAAAAGTCAAAACCTAGTTTATACATAAATATACATATTTCTACATACATATGGGACTACATTACATAACAATATAGTAAATTTGTTTGTTTGTTTTTTTTTTGGTCCTCACCCGAGGACATTTTTCTATTTTTTGTTCAGACAGAGTGGGAGGGAGAGAGAGGAAGAGAGAGAGAGAGAAACATAGATGTGAAAGGGTCACATCGATTGGTTGCCACCCACATGACCCAACCAGGGCCGGGGACAAACTGCAACTGAGGTACGTGCCCTTAGCGGAAACCGAACCTGGGTCTCTCTGGACTGCAGGCCGACGCTCTAACCGCTGAGCCAAACCGGCCAGGGCAAATTTAAGTTTTTGCACAATGGCGAAACATATTCACATTGTTTGCCACTTACATTCAACTTAAATTTTAAAGAGCACAAATCATCTTACTTGGAAATTTATGCTTGTCTTTGGGCTCTCCTGTGCACACTAACATGCCTATGCCTTCTTTGAAACTCTCCATCCAGGTAAAAAGAGAGGCACATGATTGGCCCAAAACCTTGAGTCTGTTTGCTGCCAAAATTGCAATAACACCTTTCCGAAACACACGTATTAATCCTTTGAATGGTTTTTTCTTCATCTTGGCTTCCTCTTGCTTCTTTTCCTCTACAGTTGACAAAGCCTGGGCTAGAGTTCTAACTTCCAGTTTGAACAACTCAAAGGTATTGACCTGCTCCTGGAGAAAATCTCTCTGTGTAGATAAGGCACATGATCGGCTGTAGAGAGGGTATAAGGCACCAGCCATCAAGGCACAGGCTGCCAGCAAAGATGTTTGTTCCTTTTGAGTCTGTGATAACACATTTTTCATGTGTGAATTTTCATGAACCAATTGCTCGTGTGACTTCTCAATACGGTTCAATTTTTCCATATTTTTTTCAGCAATTTCTTGAAATTTCTATAAGAAGAAAAGTCATAATATGAAACAAACAGGTGTTTTATTAATTCCTCTTATAGAAAGGAAAACTTCTGCTGACAACTACATCTTCAAAAGATCATGTTCTAAAATATCCAACAAATACATATTATGACAGGGCAACAGTGGGCCAAACAGCTTAGATTTGAATGTGCACATTGATTTTTAAATCCTCTTACATAGAAGCTTTATATAAAATAGAACACATAAATTTAAAAGTACTTCAAACATTTCCTGTACACTTATGAATATATACACATATTTAGAAAAAGAAAATTTCTCCTCTTCCATTCCTCACTAACTTTTATTTCTTGCTTTTAAACAGAAATTACTCCACCAATAGAGGCTTTCCTACACATGAGAAGACTCTGCTTTTGCCAAAATAAACAAAGGATTAAACCAATGATACAACAAATAGCACTTGACTGTCTGCCATTTACTAGATGAGAAGGGCCTGACTCTCAGACATACTCTTACGTTTCAGTCTCTTTCTTACCTTCCCAAAACAGAAGTCTGTACAAGTACAGCCCCGGTGGTGGGAGGAAATACCAGAGTAAGCTGGGCCTCAGCAGCAATCTAATTCTATTTTCCTAATTAAGGCACTTACATCCTAAAACTCAATTTGAAACACAAAGAAATTTTAACTGCAGACACTGTATTTTAATCACTAGAAAATAAACTAGCTCTCTATGAAATCTTATGCCTAATCATTAAGGAACTGCTGAGGTAGAATAAATTTTAGAACATAACAGATCCCAATTTCCTTTACAGATTCATTTATCATTCAATAAACATTTATTGATTACTCACTAAATTCCATGTGCCAGGAAAACAGACAAGTAAATCAATTATTGCGGTATAATGCCATGATAGAGCTATGCCAGACTGCCAGAGGAACACCAAAGGCAGTTTACACAAAATGATGTTGACAGGCTTTTGGAGGGTCACAGTAAAGGACAAGCAGGAATAAAGATTTTTTTTTTAAACCCTACTCCACCAATGAGGCCAGTCATAGCTACCCTATAATAATTTAATCTAAGTCTTATAAATCAATGGTGCTTTAACAGCTTCATTTGGATCTTTTTTTTTTTATTACTAGTGTGTGAAAGTTCCTGGGTTGGAAGGGACAGTTGGAACCTTCAAACATGGGGAAAACGCATTTCAGCAATGTTTTCCCTGCACTATCAATGGCCAGGGCACCGGCAGCCCACGACTCCATTTGGATTGTTACTTAGCCAGGTGAGCTGCCATGACTTGGTCATGGACCTCTCTGTTTGTAAAAGCAAGTTCAATTTGATTAAGGGTGTCAACCAGAGACAGAGAAAAAGTGCTACCTTCATTACATGTGAACATTAGGAAAACATTTCTGTGTTATTGGCCCAGACTGCACTGTCTAAAATTTAGTGTTCATCTTTGGGAGAAGTTTATAGAGAGTATGTATCTCATTTAATTGTTACTAATGAATAACTAAAAGAATCAAAAGGCATTTCTAAAACTTACATGGGCAGGAAGACCTCAAAGTGATAAGACTTTGGAGAAAATCATACAAACTCTTGACTCCTCTACAAGATACGGTGTCAAAGCCTACCATGAGCGATGTTGATAGGCAGTAGTCAAAAGAATTCAAACTGTAGAAATATACTGCTGAAGTAGTAGTAACTCCTGAGGCTGGAGGAGAGGTTCCCAAAGGTGTACAGTGAGTACAATACACTCAGAGGTACAGTCCTGAGTACAAAAGAGTGAAGGAAGTATACAAGAGGATACTCTCTGACGGATTCAACTTCTTCAATTCTTTCTCTTAGGTAGAAAAAAAAATTGTATTTTAGACATTTTTTTTAATGTTTCTATACTAAATGCCCTTGATTTACTCTCTTCTTGAAAAGCTGATCCAGACATACTCGTGAGAAATAAAGGAACTGTGGCTTGCCCTAACCACACCCCCACTGGTGGCCAAGCTGTGTAGCAGCATTCTATCATTGGAGGTGGACCCAGAGCTCCATACAAAGAGCTTGTAAAGGAAGTGGTGTCCCACTGGGAGCCGCTGAAAAAAAGCAAGAGACTCTGAGAAGTTCTAGCCAGGTGAACCGCTTGGAAGCTCATGTGAGACACCCGACTGAGATAACTGTTTAAAAAAGGGAAAACTGACACTTGAGTTTTAACCAGAAAAAGCAGGAAGACTAGTATGTAAACAAGTAAGAGCCAGAAAACAGGATAATGTATTTCTAAGGAGAGTGCAAATAACTCTGTAGTCTAAAGAAAAGAGAAGGATGAAAATTTAAGAAGTAGGTTGATAATAGATGATTAAGCTAAGGAAATTAAACTTTATCCGAAAAGCTATGAGAAGCTATAAAATCCTGGAACAGTCTCCATGCTTTAGTAAACAGGTGGGAGAATCAGAAACATGAAGACTACCAAGGGTTGGTTGGAGCACCATCCTGTGCACCGAAAGGTTGCCAGCTCAATTCCTGGTCAGGGCATATACCTAGGTTGTGGGTTTGATCCCTAGTCAGGTGCATTCAGGAAACAACCAATTGATGCCTCTCTCTCTCTCCCCTCCACCACCCCCGACCTCTCCATTCCTCTCTCTCTAAAATCAATAAAAACATTTTTTTTAAACTGCCAAGGGCCCTGGCCAGTTTGGCTCAGCAGTTAGAGCGACAACCCTGAGGTTAGAACGTCGGCCCTCAGATTGAAGGATCCGGGTTCAATTCCCAATCAAGGACACAGACCTAGGTTGCAGGTTTGATCCCTGGCCCTGGTTGAGGTCATGCAGGAGGCAACCAGTAGATGTTTCTGTTTCTCTTTCTCTCTCTCCCTCTCCTCCCTCCCTCCCTCCCTCCCTTCCTTGCACTCTATCTAAAAATCAATGGAAAATATCCTCAGGTGAGGATTAACAACAGCAAAACAACTGCCAATGGTACCTGCCAGAGTTACAGGAAGTGGAGATGGAATGAGGGGAGCAAATGGAAATTACAAAGGTTAATTCCATATTCTTTCCAAAATCAATTCCTTGAGCTCAATTAGAGGAAAAAAGAAAAATTATAGAAAATCTAAGGTAAAAGAGGCACACTAGTCATAGCTACACAGTAAAAATAAAACAACCTAATCAGGTTCCCAGTGGCTGCCTATTTACATAGTCACAGATCTCAAAGTTTCAGGCAGAAGTGTTTTTGCAACAAAAATTACTCTGTTGAAAAAAAAAATTGAAAAGAAATATTTGCTCATGATACTTTAAATATTTCAAAATAATAGTCAACATCATTGGTCAAAATCAAATGAATTGATGAAGAACAAACAATAAGCTCATTGTGGAAAAGATTAATTAATTTTAGTGCATGACAGATCACAAACTCCTCTAACGTGTTCTTCCACCTCCACAAACCATCAGGTTAAAGCTAAAGCATTTTAGAGAGACAACCAGAAACTAGTAGTCCGAAGACACATTACCAAAAATATCCCACTTCTCTCTTTAAAGAGGAAAACCAGAACCCACTAGAATTTATATATATTATTGTTGACTTTATTAAAAAATAGAACTGAGATTCCTGACTTACACAGCCAGTTTTCATTTTAGGTTACCTTGTAGAAGTAGTGGCAATGTAATAAAGTAATTTTTGAAGATCTTTATGTCAAATTTCTATCATTTTTAGTAATTACATATTAAAAACTGCTGATTAATATTAAGCATTACCACTTTGGATGATTTCATGAGGCTCATATGATTTCTATTTTAAGAAAGAGATGCCATTCACAACTGCTAAAATAATAAAAATAAAACAAAGAATACATGTGAAGTCTGTTTATAAATAAAAATAAACAACCTGTTGTTTATTTAACAACCATCTGTTATCTTAAATCATTCTTGGTTTAAGTAATTATAATCAAGATACCAAGTATCAATGTTTATTTAAAAAATCAACCAGGTCAGCCCAGCTGGTGTGGCTTAGTGGTTGAGCATCGACCCATGCACCAAGAGGTCGCAGGTTTGATTCCTGGTCAGGGTACATGCGGGGATGGGGTGAGAGAGCCAACTGATGTTCTCTCTCACTGATTTTTTTTTTTTTTCCATACATGCTCCTTGCGGTAACCGAACCCGGGACTCTATGGTCCGCAGGCTGACGCTCCAACCGCTGAGCCAAACCGGCCAGGGCTCTCACTGATATTTCTATCTCTCTCCCTCTCTCTTCCTTTTTCTCTAAAATCAATAAAGGAAAAAAAAAATTAAAAAAAAAAAAAAAAAAAAAAAGCAACCAGGTAAGTATCAATTAGATAACTAGGATTAGCAAAGTGGGATAGGTGAATTAATAATAAAATAATAAAATTAAATTTTTTAATTTTTAAAGCTCTTATTGACAAATATTATGAGAATTGTGTTCATTTCTTAACAGTTACATTTCTGCATCCCTGGCATCTCCACTGAATCCAGAATCACAGATCTGATTGCCCGGTAGCCATCTCCAGTTAGATACCTCACAGCCACCTCAAGCTAAAGTATCCAGTTAAAAGTGAATACTTTTAACTCTTTTAACACTTAACCTCTTAAAAGTGTTCACAATAGCCTGGCTGATGTGGCTTAGTGGTTGAGTGTCGACCCATGCACCAAGGGGTCACCAGTTCAATTCCCAGTCAGGGCACATGCCCAGGTTATGGGCCAAATCCCCAGTGGAGGGCATGCAGGGGGTGGCCAATCGATGTTCTCTCATCAATCTTTCTATCTCTCTCTCCCTCTTCCTCCCTCTCTCTAAACTCAATAAAGAAAAAAATTTTTTTAAATGTTCATAATAGTCCTCTTTATATCAGTAAATGGCACCAACATCCACCAAATTATTTGAGTCAAAAACTTCAGTCAGTCTTAACTCCTCCTCCTTTCACCTTAGCCTCTGCATTCCCAAATCAAAGCCGTCAGCGAGCACAGCACACATCCTGTCCACCTCCCTGCTGCCGCCCCAGTTCCAGCAGTTCCCGCTCTCATCACCACTAGCACTCATGCCCATTTAAATGCTGTGTCAGGTTCTGTCGGCCCGATCCTGTTGCTTAACCTCTCTTTCTTTACTGAACCAAGGTTCTCCACTCAGGTCACAACACTCCACGTGCCTTCCTTCTCCTGTAAAGACTTCACCTTCTCCCCTGATCCTCAACTTAGAAAAGGAGAGAACAATCTGCTTTTTTATTTTCCAGCCATGAACCTCACCACAACTTTTCACAATGTAGCCACATTCTCTAGCACCCCCAGGTCCTTTTCCTTTCCACTCCCCTAATGTTATTCAAATTCTAACAATCTTCAGAGCCCATACCAGGGTCACACACTTACCTTGACCATCTCTCAACTTAAACTATGCAAGCATTTAATTCCTACACTGCTACTTACTTACATCATGTGTGTTTATCTATTCTCCCTCAAATGCAATAGAGTGCTAGTTTCTAGAGGCCAGGAATTATTTACTGAAATGCTCTATATATACCCTATAGGTATTGAATAAATACTGAACAAATTAAATAATCCTTTATAAAATGTCCCCTGGTGCTGAGCTCATAAAAGTCACTGAATAAATACCCAATGAATAAAAAGCTTTACAAATGTAAAAAGAAAAATATAATTGAAAAAGATATAGTTTCCGAATATAATTTGGAACTTATCGACATGTCAGAATTCTGTTTTAAATTAATTCTGATAGTCCACAAGGACCTTCAGAGGTACTGCATTATTTACAGTGAATTATTCTTGAAGAACAAAGCTTTTTTGATGGTAAGGCTAGAAACAGCTATAAGAGCAAATTTTCCTTTAAAAAAAAAAAAAATCCTATGTTCTTTACCCAAGGAGATTAAAGGCCAATATTTTTAAAGCAAACATAAGGAACGTCGTCTTCAAATGGGACAAAAGCATTCCTGGTACTAAAATCCTCCTTAGTGGGTTTAATTTCAAAAATATTATTCCAAAGTTCCCCCCTCCCCAAAATGTCTTATCTTACAAAATATTTTTTAAAACTGAAAATATAGAATGGATATCCTTTACACAGATTTCTTTGTTATATCAAAAGTACTTTATAATTTCACTAGTTTTCGTTTACTTTCTGACAAACTCAAAGTGCACCCAAAATGGGGGGAGAAGACAGTTTCTTTCCTTAATGAATCACACACTTACTTCCTGAAATATACGAGCTTTGAGGGCTGCCTTATTGGCTTACAGCACTCCATGAAATTTGAGACTTAGAGCCAGAAATTAG